GATATAGAACAGTAGGATACAGAACTCCATTTCATTTTATTAGTCCAATAAGATACAGAATAGTAGGATATAAAACTCTATTTCATTTCATTAGTCTAATAAGATACAGAACAGTAGGATATAGAACTCTATTTCATTTCATTAGTCTAATACGATACAGAACAGTAGGATATAAAACTTTATTTCATTTCATTAGTACAATAAGATATAGAACAGTAGGATATAAAACTCTATTCCATTAGTCCAATAAGATATAGAACAGTAGGATACAGAACTCCATTTCATTTTATTAGTCCAATAAGATACAGAACAGTAGGATATAAAACTCTATTTCATTTCATTAGTTCAATAAGATACAGAACAGTAGGATATAAAACTCTATTTCATTTCATTAGTACAATAAGATATAGAACAGTAGGATATAAATCTCTATTTCATTTCATTAGTCTAATAAGATACAGAACAGTAGGATATAAAACTCTATTTCATTTCATTAGTTCAATAAGATACAGAACAGTAGGATATAAAACTCTATTTCATTTCATTAGTCTAATAAGATACAGAACAGTAGGATATAAAACTCTATTTCATTTCATTAGTTCATTAAGATACAGAACAGTAGGATATAAAACTCTATTTCATTTCATTAGTCCAATAAGATACAGAACAGTAGGATATAAAACTCTATTTCATTTCATTAGTCTAATAAGATACAGAACAGTAGGATATAAAACTCTATTTCATTTCATTAGTCTAATAAGATAGAGAACAGTAGGATATAAATCTCTATTTCATTTCATTAGTACAATAAGATAGAGAACAGTAGGATATAAATCTCTATTTCATTTCATTAGTCCAATCAGGAGCATAAAATTGGGTAAGTTTCTGTAGCACAGTTGGTCAGAGCGTTGGTTGTCAACATGACGTCATTTTGCTTGGTTACGTCGAGCACATGATGGCTGTGGGTTATCATATTAGTCATTTTCACTCATAACGCATTACATTAGTCCAATTAGAAACATATTAATAACATAAGTTCAATTTCATTTCATTAGACAAATCAGACTAAAACTCCACTTCATTTCAGTTATAAGGGTGAAGGAGATCCTGAGCTAACATAACGTTTCAAATGATCAATTTTCCATCCTAAATTTCTTACAAAGTGTTTTGTCAATACTGCTCTTGATGGAGATTAAAGAATTTAATTCCCAATCGATGACCAGTTCTCGACTTTAACACGATTTTATTTCCGTACGACTAAAACATTCTCTCATTCAATCTGTGAAAATAACTTCAAGTACTCTGTCTTTAATCTCTAAGCCCAGTTCCGTGAAATTCAAATGAAAATTTTAAACTAGAAGAGAAGACGTTCGTTGAAGACATTATGGTTATTTTAGTGTTAGTTTTTACAAGTTATTACTTCAAATCTATAATCAATTTCCCGACTTTAACTGTCAATAAAACTTTAACTTTGATTTAACGATCTTAATCTTACATTCACTCCGTGTCAATAGTCCTTTTACATTCTTAATGGCTCTTTTATATCGTGTCAATAGTCTTACTTTATTCTCGTCTTCGATCATCCAGGAAGTTTGTTTTTATATTTGTGAACTGTGACATCATCAAATCCGTAAGCGTAAAAAAGTGATTTTGGTAGTCGTTACTTTTCTCTTGTTTCGGAATATTTAGCTTCATAGACGTTGACCTTCAAAAGTATTGTGTCCATCTAGGTCATCCAGATCACAGATTATAACTGATCTGTTGAAGACAGTAAGTCTGGAATGAGATTCAAAGGTGGACTGACTTTTTTCGTTTTAATGGATCCAACATACATCAAATTGCCAAGCGGGCACTGTATCTCGCTACGGAGTGAGCTACCCAACTGTCATAAAAAAGCAAGTTACTTAAAACATGTTTTGATTAACTATGTTTTTAATTGAATATAAATTAATTCGATATAAATTTACCATAATAATTCCAATTATTTTAAACCAGCTGATAGGAATTACCGATATTCCAATCTAGCTTTCCATAAGAGTTTAAACACTCATTGGTCTCCTGAGAGAAATTCATTTAGCCCCAGTATTAATTTTAGAAATACTCACTTGAATTCCTAATGGTTTAATGGACAGAGTCTTTCTTTGTTCAGTTAAAATTGTGGTCATTATAACTTATAGTAACACTTAGAGTAATCAATGAACCTTATACTCGAATATATTTCTTGAGATTTGAGTGTATCAATCAATAAGTTGACATACTTGCAAGTTCCATGTGGTTGAAATGGAAGGATTTGTAACTGAATGGATTGGTAACATGTAGATCCTGGGGAACAGATAAACTGGTCTGGTCTTGTCTGTGACACGCAGCAATAAATCAATATATAAAAAAATGTGTCTAATGAACGGCAGGAAACATCATAATCAATTTAGTGGTAATTGATCAAGAATTTTTTATTTCCTTTTTTTTAAATGTGTAAAAAGTTAGTGATAACTACTTCCGGTTTATAAGAAAGCGGAAATAGAATTAGTGATACTTTGACTCTACAGATTGTATTACTTCAGATCTAGAACCCTGACATTCATATCACAGGTTGCAATTTGACTAGCTGGATTAACGTCGTATATTTTACACAACTGTATGTTCAGTTACTACGCTGTGTTAATTAAGTTTCGCTCTCTTGGTTCTATATAACACGTTTTTTTGCTGGTGAACCATAATACATTTTATTTCATTTCCTTGGTATTTTGTTTTTGAATTTTGATTAATGAATAGGGCTGATATAGGTTGAATAGTACTATATGTAGTTTACTGTTTAAATGTCGTGGAGGGGTTCTGTAACCTATAATACTTCAGTGTAAAGTCATATAGATCTATTTATTGATAGTTGGGGGCTGTAAAAGATACGATGTTCCTTTTCTTGCATGAAGTTTTCCACGAAAGGAAACAATTGTGTTGATATGAGTTGCATACACAGTTTTGATAATATTTCTCTTGTATTGGTCCGAATACGAGAGATTGCATTCTACATAGCAGCTAAACAGTATTTAGTTTATTTATTCTACACAGCCAGCGAAAACTGAGATCTTCAGATACTAATGAAATTTAGTAAAAATGAGTTTGACTGTGTAGAATTAACCTTTGAAGTTGGAATGGTTATTGTTGGAGGCAGTAATTTGCTCAGATAATTTCATATTAAAGTCGACAAGTTGTTGATATAAAGTCTTATTGATTGAAATGGTAAGGAGTATTGATGTAACACTTTGTAAGACATTTGTTGATCGTTATACTCCGTCAATACGATTAATCTGATTTCATTCAAAAAAAAAACTACTTAATATCTTACTGGGGACCAGTTAACTCAGTGGTTTATAATCTGTTCGTGTATGTCTCCTCAAATCGAATCAGCATGAAAATGATGTCCCCAAATATCGAAAGTGTATCAATGATTGGATACCAGACACATTCTCGTATAGTTTGATAGTAATAATTCTCTGAGTACTCCTAGACAATGTTAATTTAGGATGTGTATAGTGTAGTCATCATATGAGATGTTGTATATATTGCAGTTGGAAAGTTTTTATTTTTCACAGTCTGTGCCTAGCTGTAATACATCAAATGTCCACAAAAAAAATGCAAATGTCATGTCCCTGTAGTTGAAAACCTACGAATTAACAAACCCACAAAGTCTGCAATCATATGACCTGAATACATACACCCTTTAGCCTCAATTAGTGTTTCAGGTTGATTTTTCAGTCGAATATAATATATTTTTTTATATTAACATTTCTAGTCTAGTGTATTTTCTGCAATTTATTCAGCTTATTGATCTATCTGTGAACTAGATTTTATATGAGTTGTTAAAACCATTCAGAGCATTTTATTTAATAAGTGTGGATTTTATCTTAGTTATGTGTTTGGGCATATGGCCCCAGTGACGTTTCTAGTAAACATCGGGTGTGGGAGCCAAGCAGAGGCACTATGTCAATTTGAAAGTGGGAAAGGGGTGGCTATGGTGATGGCCTATGACATTGAATGTTGACTATTTTCTCTGACAGACAATTGTGTAGTTATCGACTATACATAGTCTGGATTCTAGTAGAAGTTTAATTATTTGTTATGAACCACGACCAACTTGTAAAATTATATTTTTATACATGTATTTCAAAAAATCAAATCGAAACGTGAAGTCATTTTATTAAATTTAATCAAAATGTAAAATACAGAATTGATAATCTTTAAGGCGAAAACATTGCGTCAAATTGAAATTAGCGTGAATTAATCTGGTTCAGGGTATTAGATTCTGGAGAATAGAAGTTAAATAATCAAATACAAATAAATTTCATTTTACTGAATAACTTTAAAGAAATGTTCACAGAGAGTCTGGTTGTTATGCTGGTGATAAAATGTTGTCAAGGTTTTGTGGAAGGATGTTAACGAGAAGATCGTCTGGAATGTCTATTGTCTGATTCTGTTGAAAGCGACGTGTGTCTTTATTTAGCTGTGTTTATCTGGTGTTATATATTATGTTTCTATAGTTATAGAGATTTCAGTTTCCTCGTTTCCTCACACTAATCCATTTGTCAAAATCTAAAAGTAACCATGAAAACTTTGATGAATTTGTATGAGGTGGTCAGAACTTTCTACCTCAAAACAATTGAAATGAAATGTATTTTTCGTACTACGTTTATCAACTCCTCTTCACTTTCATCAAAGTTTTTTGTTCAGCCATGTGAGGTGTCAATATTTTTATGGGGATTGGAATAATGAACGTTTGCTAACTGCAAATACTTGTGAGTTATCCAGATCAAGGACACTGTCAAAACTGTCAATATTGCATGTTATGTCAAGTTTTGAATTCAAAGCTAATGATTTTTTTGTTCGTTGATCAAAATAAATTGACGATCTCAGAAATACTTCGACTTCAGCTCTACAATAATTGAAGTATTGAGGACTATTTTATCATTAAAAATATATTTTATTTTTGTAAGGCAGACAGGTTTTTAAGACGTTCGTGATGGACTGGGTTGAAACGGTCTGTAGCCTTGTTTTCTTTTCTTCTCGCAGTGTTTGTGGATACAGCAAGCTGCTATAGTGATGAGTATTATTATTGTTATTACTGAACAAGCTATCAGTACAGGATACAACAATCCCCAGCCTGGTACACAGTCGTTATCTTAAAATAAACAGATGGACATTACAACCGAGCACCAGCAGTGAATAGGTCCAGATATATAACAAATAATATAACATGTTTTTCGTAGCGCCAGTACCACTAGTCTGTTTGTGTTTAGAAGATGATATTAAGATATATGAGGCCTGGTCGTTAATAACAATAATAAAACGGGATGTATATTGAATAAAAATCAACAACAGTAAATCTACGTTTGATATTTACTTTAAAGCCGCATATCAACGCATTGAATTTAAACGGAACGGGATTTAAACCGACGTTTTCTTGCATTCGATCATCGTTCACTCCATTTTCATTTCCACTCTTTTTATGACAACTACTTTTGAGTAATAACGGTAAGAAATCACTAGAAATCACTAGAAATCACTTACCCGGTTCCATAGTAGAGATATATTCAGTAGTGGAACTAAGTATTCCAGATGTTATAACTGTAGGCGACAAAGTAATATCTTGCTCGGTAAGTGGTAAAATCTTTTCTGTTGTCAGATCTCTAGGTTCCAGTTCTTCTTTCTCCTGACAGTTGAAAGAAACTTGCCAATTTTGAGAGCCAGGTTTCTCGACGTAGTTGGTAATAATGGGGTCGAGTGGTGAACTGTAGAGCAGACATTCTTTAGTTCTGGTGTTAAAATTAAAGGACATACACCGAGGATCAGAACTCTCTCGACATTTCCTGGAGCAAATGATGGCTGCCTTTGTCGTGGAAGATTGAATTGGTGTTACGTTCTCGTTGAATTGTCTATCTAGTTCACGGTACCTAGTGACACTCGGCTCACATGGCGGACTGCAGGATATATTATCAATGAGCAGAGAAAACAACACGATACCAAAATAACCTGAATGATTAGAAATAACAGAATAATTATATTAGCTGTATGGTTTCTAACAAGGAGGCCTAAATGACAAAATTGTAGTGTTGTAAGATGTTCGAGAGTGGTGATTTTACTAGTGTAATTATGATTCGTAATAGAACAAACAACAATTGTTGAAAGAGGATAACATCTTAGGTTTACAAATTTCTGTCAGCCAGCTGGTCCTTGGTCAAACCTCTTTGCATTGATCTTAACTAAAATATATTTACCCATTTGAAACTGGGTCTATTATGAAATTATGGAATTATGATAAAAGATGTACTCGGGGCTATAACAGGAATTAAGGTTACCATGTGAGTGAGATATTCGATAGATAAATGGAGTTGTGTTCATTGATTCTGACCACTTTTTAAGAATATTCATAGACAACAAACTGGGGTCTGTTTCACAAAAACTTAATTGAGAATGATTTTAGTATTCTAGTAATCCGATTGGCCAATAGCGAAAATCAATTTTAATTTCAGCATAAGCCAATCAGATGACTTATTTTCTTAAAATCTTGTCTGTAATTATGTAAAACCTTTGTGAAACAGGCCCCTGACATCCACTGAGATAGGATGGTGAGTTAAAAGGTACAACTATTCCTCTAAATGGCAAGTAGATAAGGTACCAAAACTACCATCAGAAAATGCTGTTTTTGAGTTAAGAAGCGACATAGCTTGATTGATGATGAAGTAAGTAACCAAATGTATGTGATACGACTACCTCAAATACAAAATAAAACATACCCTTCATTCTTCGAATCTCGCGTTGTGTTAACTTTCTCACCCTCGCCAACATTTCAATGAAATGATAAATAAAATATCATGCTAGCTGAGTCCATGTTGATCATCAGACGTTATAATTAACCTTCAATTACACCACCACTAATAGCATGATTCTAAACCGCCCACCAGTTTAAATTAGAACAAGTGGTTCGAAATCAGTAACGGTAACATTTTTAGCCAAAGTGGTATACAGTCTTGTTATCGGTTTATAAATCACACTGCGTATTCTCCTAACGATCTTAGCGCTAGGATATCCTAGGGTCTTAACTTCTAACACTGTTTCTAGGACATCCTAGGGTCTTTATTTCTAACACTGTTTCTAGGATATCCTAGGGTCTTAACTTCTAACATTAATTCTATGACATCCTAGGGTCTTGACCCCTAACACTCTTTCTAGGATATCCTAGGGTATTAACCTCTAACACTGTTTCTAGGATATCCTAGGTTCTTGTCTTCTAACATTAATTCTAGGATATCAAAGGTTATTAACTTCTAACAGTGTTTCTAGAATATCCTAGGGTGTTAACTTCTAACACTGTTTCTAGGATATCCTAGAGTATTAACTTCTAACACTGTTTCTAGGATATCCTAGGGTCTTAACTTCTAACACTATTTCTAGGATATCCTTGGGTCTGAACTTCTAACACTGTTTCTAGGATATCCTAGAGTATTAACTTCTAACACAGTTTCTAGGATATCCTAGGGTTTTAACTACTAACTCTGTTTCTAGGATATCATAGGGCCTGGACTTCTAACACTCTTTCTAGGATATCCTAGGGTATTAACTTCTAACGCTGGTTCTGGGATATCCCAGAGTATTAACGTCTAACGCTGTTTCTAGGATATCCAAGCGCTAAATTCGTTTCTAGTATACTTGGCCAGAATTTGAAAATGACTGTTGTTTATTTTGCCTTCAGTATCGTATTGTTACATCTCACACATAACAAAAAGCATAGTCCAAAAACCACAAAAAGAACAAAATAACAAACGTTACTTTATTCATTAGAGAATATACAGTTATAGTAATGATAGGGGCCCTCACATCATAGCAATCACCAGTTGCGTACGGTTGCGAATAAGAATAGCGGTCATAAGTTTCGAACGCAACTTTCATATAACTGAGTTGTTGCTTACGTTCGGTACCACTTTCATTATTCGCAATATACGCAACTGGTGATCGCAACTGGTGATCGCTATGGTGATCGCTATGGTGGGCGGACAGCTGAATATAATTCTTACAGTCTGATTAAAATACAGATTTCAATATTTGTTTCGCGTTTCTTCTGTAGGTTATTAATTGTCGTCCATTACTTGATGAATTACTTCTTTAAATTTGAATTTAATTGGTTCAATATACAATAAATTCAGAACAGAATATGTATATAAATTTCGTCAGATCATGAATGGCCAGTTGTATAATCAGCATAAAAAACAATCATCCTGATATGAAATATAGCCAAATTGAGATTTCTATTAAATATAAGAAGAAAGATGACTATCAACAACCACAATGTCAAGATGTTATGACCTACGGCTTATATCTTGTTTGCAGTAGTCACCGTTTGTGTACCATGAAAGTTTGTAAATGCAGCGATTTAATTGGATTGTACGGTAGAAATACTGCCAATCAAAGGCCTCGACAAAAATCTGTAAACACTAAGCAATAATGATGACAGACGTTCTATCGGGAGCTCTTGGTTGTATTCGCTGACGTACAAATCAATCAAATCGCTTCATTTCGAGATACATTGCTTTTGAAGTCAAGGTATAAGCCGAAGTTGGTAATAACTCTACGAGATATCCTACTGAGACTGTGAATGAGCTTGATAACGTTTTTTAAGACAGAGAGCTACAATCACTACCAGAACAATAATAACTAATACTACCACAGCTATTAATATAGGATACAATAAACACCATCCTCCTTTACAACCTCGTACTGAAATATAATAATGTTATATTATAATAGGGTGGGGACGGTGGCGTTGCCGTGGGGGGTGCGGGGAGGGGTCCGGTTACAGATCCCCTGTCTGGATTTGAGAAGGCAGGCACTGTTCTAGGTGTGTAGAGAATGCACCTGACGCGATTTTTGAAGTGAGAGCAAAATCTTTTTATGGCCCACTGAGGGCGGATTTTGAACGTCAAAAGTGGCATTACAGTAATGGAATAATAAAAGACAAACCGCTATAGAATGTTCAATGACCACTTTGAGCAAGGAGATTCTGACACACGGTCAGCGATTACAAGATACCTGCCATAACCATGACTCTTAAACTAATTTCCGCTTTGTCATATTTAGTGGCCATGTTGCATGACAAGACACCTCGTACTGCTAGGTAACATTCGTTGTTG